CCTCAACCTTAAACCCTAAACCCAAACCCTAAGCCCTGAACCCTGAACCCTAAACCTTAAACCCCAGACTGTACCGAAACCTTGAACATGCCTGAGACTGAGACCCGAGACCGTCGGAGGTGGGTCTAATCACTTTGAGAGACAGGCTTGTGCAAAGTTTCGGGGCAGGGTACTATAGGGTTTAGGATTTAGGGTGTAGGGGGAGGGGCCTTAATAATTACCTACACTATTTGGGGGGGGTCCTTATTATATTTTTAGTATCATCTAACCCAAAACCCTATTCTAATTATGTAGGCCCCCTATATTATCTAGACTGCATCGATGGCACAGCAGCGCACATCGTCCCAGCATGACGGCCATCGTCCCCGGTCGAGGACATGGCAGGCATCGCTGTGACGCTGCGGGCTTCAAGAATGCGGGGGTGAGGGGGGGGCTCTTTTGAAGTAATATAGGAGCCCTATAATAATCAGAATAGGGCTTTGCATACTATAATTGTCATAAACCCTAAACCCTAAACCCCAAACCCCAAAAATGGGATTGGTACTTATTTCGGCCCCTTACAGTAGTCAGCTGGCCTGAAAGAGTTGAGAGGAGTCGTCAGGTCCCAGGGAGCCTGGGGTGAAAGCTCTGGCAGCTATGGGGGTTTAGGGTTTAGGGGTTTTGGGTTTAGGGTTTAGGGTTTAGGGGTTTAGGGTTTAGGGTTTAGGGTTTAGGGTTTAGGGGTTTAGGGTTTAGGGTTTAGGGTTTAGGCCATGCTCACCCTCGAGCTCTCAGAGTTGAAATGGCTCGGAGAAATGGCAGAGGTTTAAGCGCGGAGTCTGTACAACCTACGTGCCGAGCCCTACACTTTGGGGATTTGGGTGGTTTCGGGTAAACAGGGAAACCCTAAACCCTAAACCCTAAACCTTGCATGAGCTCAAGGACGGTTCGCACTCCTCGGTGAGGCGTTCTGCTGGACTTTTGAAGTCCGCGAAGGAGGGCCGGGACGTCTAGGGCTCTAAGGCCTCAGCTTTGTGGCTTAGGGTTTAGGGTTTAAGGTTTAGAGCTTCGAAGGACGATGGGGCCTTCGTGTGCCGTGCTTCGGCCGGGTGCTTACAGGCCCAAGGTCTTGCTGGGCGAAGATGTTGTAAGGCTTCAGGAGTTGACGGTCTGGCTGGAACTCCCAAAATGGATAACGGCTCCATAATGCGGGGGCCTTAATAATTAGAATAGGGTTTTGGGGCCCAATATACTATACTTATATTAAGGAACCCCCTAAAATGGTATTAGTAGGTATTTACCCTAAACCCTATACTATACATATATTAAGGAACCCCCAAAAATGCACCAAAAATGGTAAGGGTAGAATGAGAGCTCGGGGTTTCGCCCGTGGTTTGCTCGAGCTCGAAGATGCTTCGGCTCGCAGAGCGCAGCGATTGCGGTTAGATGAACTTTTCAGAGTTTCGGGTTTAGGGTTTAGGGTTTCGAATGGAAAAAAGCAACGAAGAACTCGCAAAGCCAGGGGCAACAGTTGAAGTCGGTGACAGCCGGTGGTCGTTTTCTTGGCGCACGCCGTACGAGCGAGTTGGCCCCATGCCCCGCGCTGCAACTCCTGAGGTCGCACTGCAACAAACGTTTGGGGCTTAGGGTTTGGGGTTTAGGGTTTGCGGTTTGGGGTTTGGGGTTTGGGGTTTAAGGTTTAGGGTTTAGGGCGGTTTAGGGTGTGGGGTTTAGAGTTTAGGGTTTAGGGCGTCTAGAATCTACTTGGAGGTTCATGGGTAGGTATAAATGGGGTTCTAAGTAGGGTAGCTGTACTTATAACCCATATGAGGGGACTTATAACCCCGCTTATGAGTTATCGCTACCCATGAACCTCCAAGTAGGGAGGCTTATCGAAGCTTCTCAGAATTTAGGATCAATACAGGATTTGGGGGGGCGCAGAAGCTGCACTAAGGTCCTCGAGCAAACGTGCAGTTTGCCGTTGGCTTGCAGGCTGGCATGCACGCAACCTTGGCTGAACTGCTATGGATCAGTACGACCCTACCCAAAAACCTCTCAACCTCCAAGCTCAGGAAGCATCCCACCTCAGGGCCTTGCCATGGAATGGTTCTACGTACCCTAAACCCTAAACCCTAAACCCTAAACCCTAAACCCTAAACCCTAAACCCTAAACCCTGAACCCTGAACCCTAAATATGTCGGACTTCCAGTTTGCTTGTGGGTGTAACGGCAGTCAGGCCGAGCTCTTGGGCACGAGGTGTTCATGTCTCGGATTGACTTCCCAGAGAACCCAATACCCCCTCATTAAGGAATATACCTTAAATCATAATAATGAAGGCCCTGTAATTTAAGGCATGTTCCTTAATTAAGGTATGTTGGGTTCTCTCACTTCTGTCTGCTGATTGGGATCACCACAGCTTGCTTGGAGGTTCATGGGTAGTGATAATTGGGGATATAAGTAGGGTAACTATACTTAAAACCATATTAGGGGATTTATAACCACACTTATAACTACCCCTAAACCCTAAACCCTATAGAGCCCTTTAAAGGAACCCTTAAAGGAACCCTATAACCACACACTTATAACTACCCATGAACCTCCAAGTGCTGCTCGGAGGGAAAATCTCACGCAAAGACAGGATTCGAGGACCAAGCCATGGCAATCCTGCCTACGGTTTAGGGTTTTTTTCTTTTAAAGTTGGGTTCGACTCTTTCGTGTCTGCCAAGCAAGGCTCCCAACAAAGCACTGTCGTTTAGGGTTTAGGGTTTGGGGTTTAGGGTTTAGGGTTTGAGCACTCAGCCCAAAAACTACATCCGGCGCCGTGGTAAGCACGAGTCTTCTAGACCCCGCAGAGCCCGAAACCCAAGCCTCTACTGCCTGGCAGGCAGCACGTCCCCGTACCTTGTAGGGCTCCGCTCTTGAGGCTTTAGGACTCAAAGGCTTTAGGATTCAGGGTCCCCGCTTCAACTCGGATACACGGCCTTACGATCTGGGTTCAGTGGGTTCTTGCGGCTGAACTCTCGGCTGGGAACTCGTAGAACCAGAACGATAAAACGTGGAACCCCAATATGTGGGTTTAGGGTTTAGGGGTTTAGGGCTTAGGGGTTTAGGGCTTTAGGTTTACACCAGTTTGCAGGATCTGCCTACATCCTCCCAGATGAAGGCATGACAGGGAGTCCCCAAACGAGACTTCATGACGTCGCGACGGGCATTGGAATGCACGCTTGACATAGGAGGATGCAGTACATTCGGCACACAGGCGTTTCACAATGCTTTGGAAATTGCGAGGGGAGCCGAGGGCGGGAGGAAGGGCCGATGCTCGAGGCTTAAGGCTTTCGGGCCTGTTATCAAAGGGCTTCATTGTAGGCATTGGTTCTTGGAGGTTCATGGCTAGTCATAAGTGGGATTCTAAGTCCCCTAATATGGGTCGTAAGTTATAAGTAGAATTACCCTACATAATATAATGTAACTTTAAAAAACTGATATAATATAATATTACATTATATTTCTAGCCCATTTATAACTACCCATGAACCTCGAAGCTGAGAACCTTCCGAAGCCCAGAGCTTCGGGCGCATGCGCCCCAGGCGCATCGTCGCCGTGGTCTCCACGCCCCGCGCCTTCGCCTCCGAGAAGATGGCCCACGCCTGGTCTGCTTTGCCGTCGACGACTCGGCCCCTAAACCCTAAACCCTAAACCCTAAACTCTAAACCCTAAACCCTAGACCCTAAACCCTAAACCCTAAACCCTAAACTCTAAACCCTAAACCCGTAACCCTAAACCCTACACCCGAAACCCTGAACTCTAAGGAGGCCCCACAGAATGAACCTCCAAGTAGGCGCTTCGGGAGGGCCTGTGAGGGAGGGCTTTTCTGGGGGGTTCTGGCTTTTATGGGGTTTAGGGTTTAGGGTTTAGGGTTTAAGGGTTTAGGGTTTAGCGTTTAGGGTTTAGGGTGGTTCGGGTTTGGGCTAGCGAAGGTTAGGAGGAACCACCGGCTTGAGGGTTCCCTAGCGTGCTTGGCGCTCTGCTGCCAAACTCTCTTGAACATACCGCAGAATAAGCAGAAGAGGGTTCCTTTAAGGGTTCCTTTAAAGGGTTCTATAAGGGCTACTATAGGGGTTTAGGGTTTAGGGGCCTTAATAATTGGAACCGGGTTTTGGGGCATATTGTACTAGAATTACAATGAAAATGAGCCCCCGAAATTGTATTGGTATTTATTTAGGCCCCTACATTAGTGCCCTAAACCTGCAACCATCAACCTGCAGCTGACAAGTTCTTCACAAGGCACTGCCGGAGCAAGGATCCCCTAAACCCTAAACCCTAAACCCTGAACCCTCAACCCTGAACGCTAAACCCTAAACCCTGAACCCTAAACCCTGAACGCTAAACCCTAAACCCTGAACCCTAAACCTCAGGTTCCCTTGCGGACTTGGCCTATTTCGTTGGGTCTTCGGGCCTGAGGTGATGCGAAAACTCCTCCTAAACTCCTCCGCAGGTGCCACATCTCCTCCGCAGAAGTTGTTTGGGGACTCTCCTCATGGGTAGTTCTCTAAATTAGCGTCCTGTTTGGGTTCCTTTTTATAAGGGTGCCGTACTATATTGGGGACCCCAAAAAGGGACCGGAATTTAGAGAACTACCCTCATGCTGCAATAGGTTCATGTCAAACTGAAGCTGGTGGAGACTCCATCACCCCTGAACCTGCGACAGATGAAACACAACCTGCGTGAACCGTATGACGCCACACCATGCAAACCCTGTGCCCTCCTAGATGCCTGGACCCCGTCGACACCGCAACTCCCTAGCGAATCGACCTTTGTGACAAAAATTGCGTAGCATAAAAAATGGCTATGTATGTCTTGAACACATCCTCCCTACACCTCAAACCCTCAACCTGGACCCGAGCCGCACCTGCTGAGGCCTTCCCGCGCGCTCGCAGCCGCGCAGCGCGGCGGCGAAAGCCAGAGAAGCCCCGGAAGGAAGGGACCCTGGGATACGTAAGGCGTGTGGGGCTGACAGGACTTGTAGGGCAAGGGCGCCACAGGGCTAGTACTGATAGGGAATGTAAGGTCGGGCATGTGAGGCTTGTGCGTGAGAGTGTTCTGGGTTTGGGGTTGCGGTCCCGCTTTCGGGCTTTTGGGGTTGTTTTGGGTACATCGGAGTTTGGTGTCCGCCTCTTCTCAGATAAGAAGAGAGCTACCAGCTACTGTACCCTAAACCCTAAACCCTAAACCCTAAACCCTAAGCCGTTACCCCGCTCTTGGGTTTGACGGTTTTTCCAGCGCGCTACTCGCCGCTGCTCATTTCCTGCGGCCTGAAAGGGCTCAACACGACAAGTCCAGAAGGGCTGAGGGCTTTAGGGCCGCCTCATCATGAGCACAGTCAAGGTGTTGCAGCTTTTCGGGATTAGGGTTTAGGGTTTAGGGCTTAGGGATTAGGGCTTAGGGCTTAGGGCTTAGGGTTTAGGGTTTAGGGCTTAGGGTTGGGGGATCTTCAAGCAGCTTCGAAGGACTGCGTGCTTAGTTCAATCCTTTCCTCCGCCTCGACCCTGCCCCGTTTTCCACTTTCCAAAGCCCTGACCCCCGAACCTTCGGGTCGCAAATATATTGGCCTTAGTAATTAGAATAGGATCTTGGGGGATATTATACTATAACTATAATAAGGAGGCTCTCAAACTCGTTTAGGTAATGATTAAGGCCCCTAAACCCTAAACCCTTCTAGAACCCTTTAAGGAACCCTTTAAAGGAACCCCCAAAATAGTATAGGTGATTCTTAAGGCCCCTATATGAGACCCTTTCTAGGCCTCTGACTTCGGGGCTCCGATACCGGCCGACACCCCTCAAGACTTTGAAGCCTGAAGTCGCCGTTCCCTGATTGTGGAAAGCGGTTTAGGGTTTAGGGTTTAGGGTTTAGGGTTTAGGGTTTAGGGTTTAGGGTTTAGGATTGTGGAAAGCGGGAAGTCCTGAAACCCTTACCGTCGCCCTTTTTTTAGTAACCGTAGGGTTTAAGTTTCAGGGTTTAGGAGTATAGGGCTTAGGGCCTAGGGGACAGAATGAGCGTCCAAACCCTAAACCCTAAACCCTAAACCCTAAGCCAAAAACACTAACCCCTAAACCCTAAACCCTAAACCCTAAACCCTGGTCCAGGTGCCCAAAAATCGCAAGCTCTGCCGCCATTCGGAACACTCGGAGCAGGCGGAGACGGCCTGGGCTATCTGGGCCCTTGGTTTAGGGTTTAGGGTTTAGGGTTTAAGGTTTAGGGTTTAGGGTTTAGGGTTTAGGGTTTAACGTTTAGGGTTTAGGGTTTAGGGTTTAGGGGTTTAGGGGTTTAGGATGTAAGATTCAAGACTGTTTGGTGTTGGGGTTCAGGGTTTTTCAGGTCTGGTGGTGAAGTGATGCGGTGTGTGGGATAAAAATGATGTTCGATCGATCTTACGAGTTCAGCACAAAGCTGTGCAAGAAAAAACTTTTGAAGATAGAACCTTCATGGATGCTGAATGAAGGGCTCGATTTAACTACGTTTCTACACTTCTCTGTGCGTGTAAAAGCTCTGCACCCCGAACCCTCCTTGAAGCCCAAACCCCCGAATCATTTCACCTGTACTACCTAAGTAGACAGTGCTATGCATATATTAGCATGTATAGATTGGCATTGGGGAGCCTGGTATTGCCTCAGCCTCAAGTGCCCATGCGCCCTCAAATCCCAGAATCGACATTTGAAACCACAGCGGTTGCAGTCCTACGTTGAGGGCCCCCACATGAACGTCACAGAGTAAGCGCACGGGATTAGGGCGAATTGCAATTGGGTGTAGGGCTTCACGTCCTGTCCGACTTTGAGAGCCTTGTCTGGCGCAGCGTCTCAGCAGTTGCTCCGGCAGAGCCATTGTCCATCCGTTCTCCAGAGCATCCCATCAGTTCCCCAAACCAGCGCATCCAAACGGTGTCTCGGCGTTTCTGAGTAGCCTAGATGATTTTGCTCATACAAAAACATACAACTGGCAAAATCGACAAGGACCACCATAAGACCCATATCTTTCTAGAGACAAAGAGCCTCAACACTAGAGCGTAAGGTCCAATAGAACACTGCACGCAATGCCCCAAACACTGCTGTCTGAAGGTAGACCCGGCACTGCGGTGCACAGGATCACGTCGCTGCGCAGCCCTGCAGCCTGCGCCTCCGAGGTGAGCCTTGCGGAAGTTGACTCAAACTTCGTAGGCCACAGAAAGGCAGGCAAGCTGCAGGGGCTGGCGGGCGGGCGTACATGTATGCGCGCATGAGGTATGTTGTACGTATACATATGCACATGTGCACATGTGTATATACTGTTGACGCATTTACATTCTGCTACTTCGCACTATCTTTCAGTGTCGTAGTTGTGCATGCTCACATGCATACAAAAAATCGTGGGTGAAGATGAAGTTAAGCATCGCATGCATCACCACAAGTGGACGAAAGCATTCAATAGCAGACGAGCAGGTAAGTGGTCGCTGGTTTAATCTGAGCAAACTAATGCCCACATATACGTATACGCACAGATACACACTCATCAGGCTCCAGGCGTAGTCAGCTTATGGCGTTTTAGAGTGTTGCAGTTGGTACCACTGGAGGGGAAGGATTGGGGTGACGACTTCCTTTCTCGAAACCTGCGACGACTCACTACAGCTGCCACTATCGATTCTCGACATGTGGGTAGGTTTCTAAACTAGGGTCCCTTTTAGGGTCCTTTTTATAAGGGTGCCGTGCTATGTAGGGACCCAAAAAGGGACCCTAATTTAGAGACCTACCCATGTGGTGTGCAGAGGGTTACTTAGGAGGCTTGAATGTGGGGCGGCTGTACTATTCTATTCGGAAGGTCAACAGTAACAGGCTTGATGAGATTGCCGCGGTATCCGAAGATCTTGCAGATGTTGCAACAGCTGTTTCTGCCCGACATCGCTGGGTTTCCGAGTGACCCCTGAATATGAAGGGTACCCTCTTTCCTGTTGTTGCAGTTCAACAAGGGAACCCTACAATAAAAAGGGCAAAAGGGTCCTACTCACGAACCTACGCAGCCCCTAAGCCTGGGATCCTTATACACCTACTATATACCCTAGATGTACCCTGAAGAGTCCCTAGAAAGGCCTAGGGGTCCATATTCGGGGCCCACATTTCTTTCCAAGTAAGGGGCCCTTTGGGAGCCGAAGTGTGGGAGCGCCCTAAACCCTAAACCCTAAACCCTAAACCCTAAACCCTAAATCCTAAACCCTAAACCCTAAATCCTAAACCCTAAACCCGAAACCCTAAACCCCAAACCCTGAGTCCCGGTTCGAAACTCTGAAACGCCACAGGGTGGCCTGGGACTCCCCGGGAGTAGTCAGAGTTTAGGGTTTAGGGTTTAGAGTTTAAGGATGAGGACTCCCCGGGATTAGTCAGAGCTTAGGGGTTGGGGATTCAGGGTTTAGCGGTTCGAGGGTTGAGGGTTTGGGGAAGTTTAGGGCTAAGAACCCTAAACCCTAAAACCCTAAACCCGAATGGGGCCTTTGGGGTTTCGGATCCTTTGCACATTCAGCGTGCACCTGAAGTTCACGTAGGGTCGCCGAGGGGCTGGAGCGACCTCCGCCAAAGTGACGCCCGCTCATTGCAACTGGCCATGGTCCCATACCTGAACGGTCATCCCTAAGGCTCCCAGGTTCAGGGTTTAGGGTTTAGGGTTTAGGATTTAGGGTTTAGGGTTTAGGGTTTACGATTGATAGGGTTTAGGGTTTAGGGCTTAGGATTAAGGGTGTAGGGTTTAGG